TTGTCAACCAGTTTAAAATCTGCCTAACAGGAGGATCCAAACCACATTTTACCAACTTGTCAATAAGAATATCATGTGGAACCTTATTGAAATCAGCTCCTACCTGGTGGAACTTTCTGCCAAATAATATCCATGCCCTGTAGGACCTTGTGCAGTTCTGCAGGGCATGCAAGGCAGAGATGCCCCACCAGGCTTTTGGTTGAAGACAGCAATGGGTACCATTGTATCTGGCACTCCCTCCTCTCCACCCTGCTTTCTCTCGTGTATTGCGAGACAGTGATGCAAACTGTAAACTTGTTTTAGTACCATCTGATGTTGTTTTTAGCTATTTTAATTCCTGGGATTTTAAATTGTACAATATTATGTTGTTAACTGCCCTGAGCTCTGTGAACTCAGAGAAGGGTGGTATATAAATTTAGATTATAAATAAATAAATAAAACGATGTCCACAGCTTTCCCCTGTGTAATCCCCTGAGAATCCCAGTGATAAATGTGGACTATAATGTAAATTAAAATAAATAAATAAATACACTTGAATGAGATTCTAGAAAAATGAATGAATGCCCTGGAAACCACAAGCAAGTCATATTATTGGATAACAGTTTGTGAACTCAACCTGACCCATCCATCCATGGGGATTTAAAAAGAAGCCCAATATGGATTGTTCCTAGGATTTCATAACAACTTGCCTCCCCATCAAATTTTCTAATGGACAGGGCTGCTATACGAACTCTCCAGCAAAGACTCTGCCCTCCCCCCACAACCCAGAACCAATTAAAACATCACATGAACCAAAATCACATGACTTGCCCAGCTCAATGGGCCTTCAGTGTGCCCCATGCAGACTCCCAGAGGTTTGTACTCGTCCCCCACCCCTCCCTGCAGCTTTGGTAAGAGCAGACTTTTATTTCATTTTCTTGGTGATTTGGGGACTTCTGTTTCAAGAATTTTTGCTGCAAAACATTTCTTTCTTAATGAGATGGGCAGTTTACTGCCATCATTTCCTCCTCTTCTAATATAACACCTGTTCTGCCTTATCTTCCTGATGTTTTACAGCATTATTGCTTCTTTGTGTTAGAGTGGTTCTGCTGGATGAGTTCCTGCTATGCCTTGATTCAAACCAGTGCTTTCTCTATTGTTTTCTGCCTGATATGATGTATCAGGCTATCCAGTTATGTTCAGCTAACTGTAGGCCAACTAATATGGTTTTCATTTTTCAAACACCACATTAACTTAGAGAGAAAGATAACATATTTTTTGAGGAGATCCAGGTTTAGAAATGTCCTCACTACATTCAGTGCAAATGTAACTTTCCTCTCCAGTGCTGAGTAATTAAAAAAAAAAGTTATGCCAGTTTGCACAGAACCAACTGAGCATAACACTGATTGGCTGATACTTGGAGATGTCCTCAAGAGGCATATCAGTGACCCAATCCTTGAAGCAATTTTGCATTTTAAAAACAATTTAATAATTAATAAGGAGACCAAAATGCATAAAATAAGATATATACAAACCATACAAAACATTAAAAGTGCCTATCTTTGCATAGTGTGGAGGACAAGACTGACAGTTATATCAGCACTCAGTTTCATCAGAAGTACATTTGTCAATCATACTGCGAAGCATGGAAAGAAGTCAGACTTAACCTGTGTCAGAGCCTCCCTCTAAATTGTCCTTTTCCATTACGTCTGTATTTACGCTCAATGGTATATTGAGGGGAGACAGTTCATCACACTTGTGACATGTTTTCTGTACTTTTAAGGAATTTTTAAAAAGGGAGCTGTTCCGTACAAGACGAATGCCAGCAGAAACACTTCAGCATTGAATGCCAGCATAAGCTCTTTAACTACTGAAACCTGGGATGTATGTGGGAGAGGATGTATATGATCCTTCCTCTCTTCCCTCTATCATCCTGCCCTTGTTATCTAAGCTTATTGCTAATGGTTGATTCAGGTGGGCAGCCCTATTGGTCTGCAGCAAAAGAACAAACTTTGAGTCCAGGGGCACCTTTAAGACCAACAAAGTTTAATTCTGGGTATGAGCTTTCGTGTGAATGCACACTTCTTCAGATACATGGCTAATGGCTGAGTCAGTTTATTTTGAGTAATAGTGAGCTGAAACTAGAAAACTGAAACTAGAAGGGAAGTCCTCTTTGATAAGGGAGATGATATGTTGATGTTCTCCATATGTATTCAAACTGATGCTTTAAAAATACAGATTGCTTCATGGTGGTTCAGATGGCCTTTGCCAACAACCCTCCCTTTTAACAAGGTAAAGGAAACAAACTGTGCAAAGTCAAACAATTTATGTGGGTAACTGAGTGAAGAGAAAACCTGTTAATTTTGGCAGCTTTTCCATGTTCTTCTGAAAGCCTTGAGCCAGGTTGCATTTTTAAACATGTCCTTTGTATAATTCCAAATACTGTAATTTATTTGTATATCTTCTTCCTTTCATATTCTTAGTATTTCAGCCCCTTGACAACTGAAGTAATCTTTCTCCACATCTTTCCCCATTTCTCAGCCTCAAGACAATATGTTTCTGTTTCTTTATACTATTCTCTAACTATGCCAGAATGTATTATACCCTGACAGAACTACCAGATAGTGATTTGGAAAAAATCTAATTATTCATTATTACATATATCTACTCCTCTCAGATTGGCTTGTGACCTACAGCTAGTTTCCTATCCAGAGATTCATCAGTTTAACTTCAAGGATGCTACAGAATCAGATGCTCCTAGGCCATGTACCAGTCGAAGATCACAAATACTGGAACGATCTTTTCAGGTCTTACGGAACAGGTTTGGTGCTGGAAAGTACAGTCAACGTGCAGCCAATTTATGGTGACTCTGTAGGGGTTTCATGACAAGAGATGAACAGACGTGGTTTGCCATTACCTGCCACTGCACAGGCACTATGAAATTCCTTGGTGGTCTCCCATCCAAATACTAACCAGGGCTGACCCTGCTTAGCTTCTGAGATCTGAGGAGATCAGCCTAGTCTGGGCCATTCAGGTCAGGGCTGAACAGGTTTATTTTTTATTTGCTGCCGTTGGGTGGCCAGCCTGGCTCTAAACCAGAAGATCTAGACTGGGCGTTACAAGACGTGGCAGGATGGCTTAGGCTGAGCCAACTGAAACTGAATCCGATGAAGACAGAGGTCCTGTGCCTGAGTCGAAGCAGACCGAGGATAGGGATCCCACTCCCGACCTTCAATGAAGCACCGTTGGTGCCAGTGCTGGAGGTTAGGAGTTTGAGAGTGCTCTTGGATGCCTCCTTAATGATGGAGGCCCAGGTAGGAGCCACTGCTAAGTCGGTCTTCTACCATCTTCGGCTGATTAGGAAGTTGGTTCCCTTCCTTGAATGCAGCGACTTGGCAACAGTGATCCACGCTATGGTCACCTCGAGATTGGACTACTGTAATGCTCTCTACATGGGTCTGCCCTTGTCCCAAATCCAGAAGCTACAGCTAGTGCAAAATGCTGCAGCCAGGCTGTTAATGGGTCTTCCAATGTGGGAGCACATTCAGTCTGTGCTGAAGGCATTGTACTGGCTACCAATGGCATAACGGATTCGCTTCAAGGTGCTGGTTCTTACCTTTAAAGCCCTTTATGGTCAGGGACCTACATACCTGAGGGACCGCCTTTCCTCATATGTTCCCCAGAGAGCACAATGATCAGGGTCACAACATCTATTGGCCCTCCCCGGTCCTAAGGATGCCAGGCTGGCTATAACCAGGGCCAGGGCTTTCTCAGTGGCAGCTCCTTCCTGGTGGAATGAGCTCCCAGAGGAGATCAGGGCCCTGCGGGACCTTATGCAGTTCCGCAGGGCCTGCAAGACAGAGCTCTTCCGCCAGGCCATTAATTAGGAGCCGCCCTGATAGAGACCCATGTCCCCTGAAGCCATAAAAACAGCCTGTGCCGACTGCACAAGATTAGATCAATGACAAAAGGAGCCACCATCATTTAATAATTTATTAATGTTATGAAATGCTAGCACTTTAAAATGTTTAAAATGTCAAAATGTTTTATCTGTTTTTAGGATGATTTAAATTTTATATGTCATTTCAGTCTATTCTTAACTTGCCTACATATACGTATCATACCAGTTATAGAACCGTACCCAAGTATTCTGAAATAAATAAATACATAAATAAATAAATATTTGAGAAGGCCTTTGAATGACCTGATGAGATAGACAGCTGTTACTGGGATGAATTTCTTACATGATGATATTTTAAACTGTTTTTAATTGCGGCATTTTATAGTTCTGGATATTATTGCATTTTATTTATTTACTTTTCACATTTATATTCCACTTTCCCCGCAAACGGGCTCAGGGCAGATCACAATTTTATGGTTATCTGGCTTGGGGGCCTGAATGAACAAATATATGGACAAAGAAACAGTCCAGTACCTAATGCCCCATTACTTGTAGCAACAAAAGACAAATCTACCAAGGTCTCCCCATTCATACTTTTATCTAGTCTTTATGCTGCAGAAGAGCAGGGCTGCTCTCTCCCAAATACTCTTGCAGAAAACTCACTTGATGACCTTGAGCCAGTTGCTCAGCCTATTTTACTTCATAGGACTGTTGTGAGGATAAAGTGGAGGGAGGGGGACCCTATCTATGCTGCTACGAGCTCCTTGGAGGACAGAAGGGATCAAAACGAGATAAAGTTCAACAGAATGGGTAGAACATTAAAAAAAACCCATTTCAACCACATGTTTTCAAAGCCCTAATTTTTCAAGTGTTTTGGATATCTACTGATAGAGTGAGAGGCTGTGTAACTGAAGATACTTTAAAAATAAATTTCACAAAGAACACAAGCAAACATCCTATTCCAATGGGAGTAATATACTTTGCTGGGGTGCTTCCTGAAAGGCTACTTGCATACCAACATGCTGTGTTCGCTGTTTGATATTTTTTACCCCAGATATCTGTTGCACCTTTCCCTTTCGCTTTTTTTGTTTTGTTTTGTGGCAGCATGAATCCCTCTTACCTCCAGGTCATACAGATATCTGAATGCATTCTGCTGATTAGCAGCTCTTCTTACGGCCTGAGCCAATTCCACAGATCCTCTCCCTCCTTCAGACCAATGATTGCAAGGCACAGCATCAGAGGCTCCAGACTGCTTGGCAATCTCACAGACCAAATCAATCTCTGCAGGAGAGTCCGTCCTGCCAACAAGAGAGTTATTTCATTTACTACTTCATCAGTCATATTTGTTAAGTGGTTCCTTGTACTTACGTATATTGGGTAAGAGTAGCTATTCAGGGAGAGTGCACATAGTATGGTATAGGAGCTTTACAACTTATACCTTTTCAGTGCTACAATGGCTAAATATGTCAGACTAGGCAAGAACAAAAATAACTGATATACATGCACTGGGGGGGGGGGGAAACCCAGATGTCCAGTTGCCACTGATCCGTAACACATTGGACCCTGGCAACTGGGCTTGGCTTGCTGAAAAGAACTAGTTTCCTCCCATGTGAGCTACTGCATGCAAGACCCGACTGGCCCATCCTCTTACTTGTTTAGGTCCTAGGAAAACAACTCACTGAAAGAATCAACAAGTCACCAGAGGAACAGCTCCCAAATCAGAGTCAATTTCAAGTTAAGTTGACTGGGAGAAAGGTGGATCCATAAAGGTTTTAAATAAAATTTAGACAAATAAATATAATTACCTCAAAATTAAGAACTGTCTGGAAGAAGGAAGGGCCAGAAAGAAACAAAAAACATACTAGCAAGAACAGGTTCTATTCTTTCACTTGTGTACTTAGAAGTCTGCCTTTCTCTGCCGTTTCAAGCTATCTAAGTTTTGCAAGGAACTTTGCATCCCTTTCACAATATATCTGTATGCTTGCAAGGTTGGTTTGTTAGCTGTGGAACTGGTATAGTTGAAGGTCTTATTTCTAAAGGTTTAATGTAATAAGTAAAGATAATGAATGAACTGCTATTCCTGCTTCTTATTAGACATCCTGGAAAGCCTGTTCAACAAGCTGCTTTTTAAGCGGAAGTCTAATATCACACAACTATACCCTTTTTTTTTGCTTAGAAATATAGAAAATGAATAACTTTTTTACTTCAAGATTTTGTGTTACAACATACTTGGTAAGAGAGAGAATTGGTAATATAATATAACAGACTTTTAGAACTATATACCACATAACCAGGAACATTAACAAACATGATTCTATGCACCCCCTTCCCCCCCCCAAAAAAAATCCCCTAGCTTTCTATTTAGTGTTTGTTTGTTTTTTAAAGGAAATTTGTTTTTTGTTTAACCACCTACAGCCTGTCCTGATAACAGGACACCAGCAAACTAAGAAATAGTTGCGTTCACTAATAAAAGATTCACCTAGGAACTAAGATATTCAGTTTCAGCGCCTGACTCAGGCAGCCAGCAAAACCTGTTCCCCAGTTCATCTGGGATTATCCCAGACACTAGGCCAGACAGGTTCTCTAACTGATCACCATCAAAGAAGGGCATTTATGTTAGCCATATTTAACGTATTGCCATCGGCCATCTTCTCTGGAAGATGCCAAAAAAATCCCCTATGAACTTAGGCAATGCCCCTGCGGTCAGGGTGCTATCGAATCCATTCCCCATGTTCTTTTAAATTGTCCATTTTATACTAAGATTCGAGAAAATTTTTTGGACACCCTTCTTTTTACATGGCGTGGTCTTCCTGAGAGTGTCAAGGTCCAGTTGCTACTCTCTGGGCAAAACGCCTCTATAACTTTTAATGTTGCTTGTTTTCTTCTATCTGTAATTCGAACCAGGGAAACTATTAATTGATCAGTTCTTTTTTTGTTGGCTGTTCGACAGCCATACGTTTGATGTATTCCTAAATTTTAATGTAATCTTATCTCTTACATGCCAATTGTCTAATGGTAAATGAAAGAACTGACCCTTGAAGCATTTTGAAAGCATTTGCACACCAAATGGCTACTATCAACCATCTAATCCGAAATGCATGCTGAACCTGTATTTGAGCCATTGGCAAAGAAAAGGGGTTGAATTTTAAGGGCTGTAAGTCACTAAGAAGAGAAACCTCAGTCTATAAGATGGCTCATCAATGGAACAGTCAAGGAGGCACTTCCCCCTGACTTCCTACAGGAAGTAGTAACCATAATGGAGATGCTTATGAATCTATGAGATATAGAATGCAATGTCTGTATCATAAATGGGATTGCAAAATATCCTCCATGTCTACCATAAAACAGAGGGAAGGCAGCATGGAACAGCCCAATCTCGTCAGAACTCAGGAGCTAAGCAGGGTCAGTACTTGGAAGGGAGACCACCAAGGAAGACCCTGCAGAGGAAGGCGATGGCAAACCACCTCTGCTTCTCACTTGCCTTGAAAGCCCTACCAGGGGCTGCCATAAATTGGCTGTGACTTGACAGCACTTTACACACAAACATACATACCATAAAATAAATGTTGTGTTATTACTCAAGGAATCAGCAATTTGTAGAAGTCACAAATAGTCACGAAACTATTTGAAGTAGAGATCTGATGTGGGCCAGGTGTACTCATGGGGCTTAAGTTGCCTACCACTATTCTAGGCATGAAAGGGGGGTGGTAAATGAAGGGAACAAGCAAGACAGGGTAACTTGTTAAAACTTAAGAGAGAGTGGGTAAGTGAGTAGTATGTGGCATATGCCAGCAGGGCGAAGGCAGGAAGCTCATTTTATGATGTCCTTGAGCCATCTTTTGTAGGCTGGGCTATCTACCATCCCAACAAATCCATTCCTCTGCCTTACATGTATTCCAGAAGGGGCTAGGACAATAGCATCCATTACCCTAATGGCCATGAATAAATTTGCTAGAGTACAAGAGTGAAGTAAAGGATCCAATTTTTTTGAGAACATAAAATGTCAGACCTGCCTTCCGGAACCCCAGCCTTATTATTATTATTTAAATGTTGCAATTTTTATGCTGCCCTACCCACAAGTGGACTCAGGACAGCTTACAAGAAGTCATATAGGCGCTCAAGGCATTGTCCCCCAATCTTTATGGAAAGCCCTTAGAAGAAATCATTCTGGGTTCTGGAATATGGTGTCACCAATATCCTGATGACACCCAGCTCTACATTTCCTTATCCAAATCACCAGGTGACACAGTGGAGACTCAGAATCAGGGTCTGATAGTTCTGGTTAAATGAATAAAGATAAACAAGCTGAAACTGAATCACGAGAAGATAGAGGAAATGTTATTTGGGAAGCCCAAGGTCCTGAAGAATGAGCTGCTCCCCACTCTTGATGGGGTCTAGCTGACTTTTGCTGACTTGGTTAGGAGTCTAAGGATGGTACTTGGTCCACCTTTATTGCTGGAGAGGCTGATGTAGCTGCAAAAGGCATTCAACCAGCTTCACTTAGTTCATAAGATGGCTCCTTACTTTGGCCCTGCTGATTTGACCACATGGATCCATGCAATGGTTACCTCAGGGGTGGACTACTATAATGTATGGTATATGGGTCTGCCCTTAAAGACAACTCGGAAACTCCTGTGGGTATAGAATGCCATTGCTGGGCTACTCTTGGGCACCAAATGGAAACTGCATATTATTCCCTTTCTGCAGACACTCCATTGGTTACCGATCAGTTACCAGGTTCAGTTCAAGATGCTAGCCATCATCTACAAAGCCCTCAAAGTTTTTGGATCTATACACCCACAAGACCACCTTGTCTACTATGTTCCACTGTGACAGCTCAGCTTGTCTGAATCAAACCCTCAGAAGATGCCACCCTGCAAACAGGTAAAACCAGGAATTGCCATTCACACATATTCTCTTTGGTGGCTCCTACACTGTGGAATGGTTTACCGGGCTATTAGAAAGCACCCACCACCACCACTTTGTAGGTTTAAACAGAGAGGTCTGCATGCGTTCTGATTTTCCCCTTTCCCTGGTTCTGCAATCTCAGCCCAACTGCATTATTTCATCTTGATAGGACTCATTTGTTGTTAGATCCAAATACTACTGTATCTTGTAATCTGCTCACTGTTTGACTGAAAGTTATTATCACACTTGTAATCTGCCTTGGATCCTAGTGAGAAAGGTGGACTATAAATGGAAATAATAAAACAAAGATTTTGAAGATTCTCCCTCCCTCATTACTTGGTTGACTGATCAGGCACTTAAGGAATTTATAAGTGAACTAAAGATTAATTGTCCCCATGTTATGGAACAGTCTCCCAGAGGAAATGAGAATATTTATATCTGTCTTGCAGTTCTGAAGGGTCTTTGGCTTCTCAAAATAACTGTTCTGTGGGTGCCTAGAAAGACTGTGATCTCTGTTGAATTTTATATTTTAAAGTGTTTTTTTCTTGCAGGTTGTTTTATTGGTATATTAAGAATTCTTCTATCTTGTACTGATTTCATTGTTGTTATTCACTATGGGTCCAGTTACCTGGGACAGTAAACTTACAAATGTAGGGCTGCCAAGCCGCGGCAGGGGATCCAAACGTCTTCACAGGATCCCTGCCACGGGGGACAGCAATATGTGTTGCACCGCCGTCGCCAGGATGTGATGCTACGCGTCGCTCTGGCAATGGGACTCCAAACAGCCCCGTTGCCAGAGCGACGCGTAGCGTCACATCCTGGCGACGGTGGTGCAACGCATATCGCTGTCCCCCGTGGCAGGGATCCTGTGAAGACGTGCGGATCCCCCGCCGTGGCTTGGCAGCCCTATACAAATGGTTTAAATTAAATAAAAATTGTATATTTCCTCTTGTCACAAACAAAGGAGCAAACAAACATCATATGGAGGTACTTGGAATAAATCACCTTCAACATACCATTCAAAATCCTTGGTTGGCTGAATGACAAGCACAGGGATTTTAATGCCAAACTGCATGTTACAACTTACAATAAAAATAATAAACACAGAGATGAGGAGATAAAGCTAATGGGATGGCACTAGAACTACGCATCCTAACACCATGCACTTAGTATATGGGGTTATTTCTTAACTGAATAAAGGATGATTCAATTTACCTGAAAACATTTAAAGCAACCACAACAGGAACACCGAAGAGCTGGGCAATTTCAATTTGTTTTCGCAAATTACTGCAGCCATCAGATACCAACTTGAGGTTCTACAAGGAAAGAAACACAAATGTTATTGGAAACTAGTATACAATTTAGTTTTAATGTCTAAAACTAACAGAAAGACTATATTCATCTTAAGATAGCTATCCCTCAATGCTGTGGCTTTAATTAAGCCATGCTCAACATCACAGCACATTTGTTTCCAACCACCAGGCCAACAGCATGGCAGCAAGTAAGACAACCGTTAGAATCACTAAAATGCCAGTCAAAATACTTGTCAAAAACAATCAGGGGTAAGAAAAAGAAGGTACCAAGAACTGTACAGGGCTATTGCCCAGAGCTCCACCTAAAGGGTTTACATGGTAAATGCATTTAATAAAGACATTTCCACTTGATATTTCCTAACCAAAGATCTTTATTAGTTTGTCCCATACATTAGAGATGACTCTGTTCAACATGTGACCAGTATCAGGATGGTCACATCCAGGATGGAAACATGAAAACCTTTTAACGACTGAAATATGAAATCCATTCTACTGAAAATTTTCAAAACTATTACACTTGTGTTGCAAGACTAATCTTGGTCTCTGCTAATATACAGATCTCCAACACACTGTAGACTTGGCTGGCAGTGGCTGCTAGGAGGATCCACATCTGCCACTCACAGAGGCCTGGTGGTAGTGTGGCAAGCTTCCAGAGCAATAAAAAGCTATCTCTGGCCTTCCTAGAAGCCCACACAAAGATGCTACAATACTTTCTCTGAATCTCCCTGAGATACACAGGGCACCAGGCCAAAGACTGGGTGATCATGTGAGACCAGGGAAAAGGACCAGGTGAGCATTGGGGAAGGAAATAAGACAAAACCTGAGTGTGAGGAGGGAGAATCAGGATAGTGTTGGGACATGATTCTGTACGAAAGAGAGAGTACTTCATTGGTTTACATGTCCTTTCGTTCTTCTCTGTTTAAAGAGAACCATTGATGGGACTTACTCAAGAACCACCAAAATCATGGCAATCTGCTGTAGTCATGGCATTAACAAATTGGTGCCACTGTATCTTGTTAGCGCTATGCACACATTGGGCAAAGCCAAATACTACCAGTATACAGAGATGCATGTTTCCCAGTATATTTGTGACATGACTTTTGTGGACAGGAAATCTACTTCCATCAAAGTCATGAAGCCAAAAAAGCAGCAGTGAATGCCACATGCTCAGCCCAGAGGTACAATGGAGAAAACAACAACAAGGTAAGACCCAAAGAGCATCCTGCTTGCTGAGATGGGAAACATGGAAACAAGGCAATCTGCACTGGCTAGATCATCAAAGCAGGAACAACAAACAACGCTGTGACACCAAAAATAAACAATGCCTTTGTAGTGAGAAAACCAACCATAAACTCATAAATAATGAGACCATAGTGCACAGTTTCTGAACACAACAGAGAGACCTGGACAAATGGTTGCTCTCTTACAAGAAATCCATGAAGCAGTTATAGTGAGTCTCAACTATGTTAGTGTTTTCATAAATATAATATTTAATGTTAGCTGCAATACATTTGGTTGAACCTCCTGAGGGGTCAGATTTTCATAGATAGCACACTTAATTCCCATCTTGCCTTACAGTCTGCAAATTACCAACTACTGTAACATGGATCTATTTTTCAAATGTGCTGTACATTCTGCAGCAAATGTTCTTACCTCTTCTGTGTATTCTCTCTTAAGAGGGGCACCTGCTGTTACCTAAAATCACAAACAAGTAGTTAACAAACAATTACCTAATAATTTGGACCATTACTAAATATTGTTTCATGGTTCCGGATTTATTTATTTTTTTCCATTTGTGTGTGTGTGTGCCTGGGAGTCATGGCGACCTCTGGCAACTCCTACTGGGGCATGGAGGACGTTCAGAGAAGTGGCTGGATAGCCTGCCTCTGCCTCCTGGCCCTGGTATTCTCTGGAGGTCTCCCATCCAAATACTTGCCAGGGTCAGCCCTGCTTAACTTCCGAGATCTGAGAAGATCAGGCTTGCCTGGGCTATCCAGGTCAGGGCCATGGTTCCAGGTTTTGAGACAGCCTTTAAAACTTATGTTTTGACATATTTCTAAGAGCAGCAAATGTCAGTGTTTTTATATACATCTTTAAATGCCAAAATGCAAAATGTTAACAAGTGGGAATTTGTTGTAACTTGCCATGTATTGTTTCACTGGGCTTCTTTGGTTCATAAATTACTATATTTGGGCAAACAAATTATATTATTGTGATGTGCTCTGGCAACTTCCACACTGACAAAACAGGGCTGGAATCTAAATTCTCAGCTAGTTTTAACAAACCTAAAAATATAACTACTACTATTTATACATATTTTATGCGTCCATTTTAAAATTAAACATTCTGTTGTAGCAGAGCCAGGCTGAACCTACACATTCCATTGCAAGCACAGGTTTGCTGAATAACATGAACGAGTGAACAGGCATGTTCAGGGAAGAAGTAGAGGGTGCAAGAGGGTCTTAAACCTTCTTCTGCTCATGGCTTTTATGCGCAACTCTTGACCCCTAGATGGTCTTTCTCTGCCAGGCCCTGAGAGCAGAAAAAAGCTCAGCTGGGGGGAAACGGCCAAGAGAAGGGACTGCAAGAGAAAGTGGAAAGTGAGAGAGAGCTGAGCAGACCATTTGCCATTTCCTTCTACTTTTAGTCTGGACTTCGGAGAAAAGTGAGATAAAAATGCTCCCAATCAATCAATCAATCAATCAGTTTCTCCTACCACTGCATTCACATTATTCAGTTAGGCTGGCAAAGGTTCTACCCTTTTTCATGTGTGTGCAGAGCAGCTAACAGCCAATTAGGACCCATGCAATGCTGCAGAAGCCAGATGGGAGGGGGAAGTGGAGAAGAAAATCCAGAAAACTGTCTGATAGGATCTGTGCCTCTAAAGGGTTAGGCAAAAGGTTAGATCCTTTCTTAGGGAACTATATAGTTCTCAGAGCCTGACTTTTAGGGAAAGTAGGCTAATTTAGTTAGTGCTTTAGGAGGAGATTGCATCTGCCTCAAAGCCTATCCACATACAGTGAAATTCCTGAAGTTGTGGAAAAGCCAAAGATCCGCTCAAGAGTTTTAGAAGCTTGGCTGATATTTGCTCTCTGCACCCAGTAATTGTCAACCAATATATTATAACTGAATGAGCCCAGCAAATGCTATGACTTCTGCTTATAAATAGTTTCAAACCCCTTTTCCCAAACTTCCTCACTCTCCTATCCCAGGACTTAAATAAAAGTTACTGTTTCCCCTAATTTCCCCGTGAAGTCCTGGGGATGGCAAGGCATTTCTAGAACATAACCTAGGCAGTACCAGAGGGAAGACGCCTAACGCCACCATCATTGTAGCAGACAGCAACACTAATTTGGCTGCGATGAATTCCCTCATGTGTAATTAAATAACCGCAATTAGAAGCCACTTCTGGTGGAGACTGAGATGGAGATGAACTGCACATCCTGCTACCTGTACCCTAACATCATTTAAAACCCTGTCCACAATCTGGAAGTGGAAAAATGTGTCATTTCAGCCTTATTAAGAGTCCCCTTTTCAAACTTTAATAGACGTGATTAAGAGATGAATCTGGCATTAACATTAAATGCCATTATAATAACTTTTGATCTCATTTTAATTAGTCATTATAATTGTGGTTGACAACAGACGCCCCTGGGCTGATACTCCTGGTCCATGGAAGACTTTAGCCCAGGTAGGGAGATGTAATAGAAACAAGACTGGAAAAGTAAGGAAGTTGGGCATGGCCAGTATTGTGACTAGAAGGCCAGAAGGAGGCAGTAGAGAGAGAAGTGCACGAGTGGTCTTGTTGGGAAGTCATGTTGAGCAGTGGGGAGGAGTGTCTTTACTGGGTTTGCTCCCTCTACCTTCCTCCTTAAGAAGGGCCACCCAACAAATTTAACCACTCACCTATGCTTTGACAGATCTTGAGCATACCTGTTGCTTAAAATTAATTACCAACAGGTATAAATCCGCTAAGCTGAATGTGGCCATTTTTTAGGATGGAAACAAGAAAGTACAAAACCCCCCAATAAAATCCAATATATTAATTCCTTAGATCCAGCATTATATCTCAAATGGACAGCTAGGGAGATGAAATGAGCTAGAAATATTCATGTACGGGGGGTGGGGGTGAAGAAAAAATTAGTTTCCAACTTATGAACTGCACAGCCAGCTGCTTTCCATGCTGAGACTTTAGTGTTTCATTTGGCCAAACCAAGAAGCTCAAACAAGTTTCCATGGCTGTACTCAGTCTGCATATAAGTATTCAAGCTTTTGCCCAAGTTCTGAAGGGGGGGGGGTTCTGCACAAGTAAGAAATATATCCTATAGACCCCAAAAACTGTGGAGGTGGGGGCTGGGTAGTTAGTTGCAAAAGACCTACTTGTTTCTACCCAGCCTACATGTCTCTGGAGGATGTGCAAAGTGCATGAAATAATATTAGAGCTGCATTCCAAAACATACTCACGTAGCAGAAGGTGCCATTGAGATCAATGGGACTTTACTTCTGAGTAAACATGGTTAGGATTATGCTGTAGGTAAGAGAGCGAGTTTGCAAAATATTAAGCAGAAAAGGTAATTAGCAGAAGGATTTTAAAAAAGGGAGAGACAGGAGGAGCACGACATGCATTCTGTGAGGGAGCTTCAGTATGAATATGGGAGTCTAAGTATGAAGCAGTGAAGCAATTCCTGTAGGGAATGGTGGGTGTAGGAATGAGAATGTGCAAAAAGAAAAGCAGAGGAGGCAGTGATGAAATCCTTAAAAGCTACAGACATTATGCTAGATGCAAAAGTAGAAAGTGAGGCCCTGAAGGGAACACCGCACTAACCGCATATGACAGAGGGCCTACACACTAGATGATCTGAGAGAATCAAAGTTCTGGGCAAATGGAAAGTGGAGGGATTACCAACAACAACAGCCGGTGGAAGAGGATGCAAAAGTCAAAAGAGAGAGATAGAGAGACGGACAGAATCATCAGGCTCCAACTCCAGCAAGACATTTAACTTAAGGAATGAAGTCATCTAAGATGAAAGCCAGACTGCATGCTTGGGTGACAGGCAGGAAAAAAAATGGAAGACTGTTGCAAAAGAAACAGAGCTCAAGCCTTGCTGCGATCCAGATCAAAAGATGCTAAAGAGACAGTACACATGCTGTCTTAGCAAAAATACTTTTAAATTCTCTAAATTTCAGGAACTCTCTCGTATACAATCAAAAATATTTGACTGGCTGTAACGAGTCCATAGTTAGCACAGCACAGTTGGAGGACTGAGAGAATAGCAAATAGGGAGGTAAGAACTGGCAGCATGAAAATGGTAGTTGAAAATATGAGACACCATGAGTTTACCCATGGCAAAATAAAGTACACTGTGAGGACATAAAATAATAAGGGCCAAACCCTGGGTTAGGTTGGAGAAAGAGAAAGGAGATTGCAAACAGACTTCATTCCCCTTCTGTGTTAAACATTTTTAGACTTCCCCTCATTTGTATGTCCAAGTCAAGTAATCTCCAAGGATAATGCCACAGAGGATGTCTGTATGATGAAAGACAGTGCAACAAGCATTTCTGCTAATCGGGCTGCAGAGCGAGCTGTTCCAACACTTTAAAGATTAAAGCTTTTTTTAACCTGAGGGAGTTCTAATGATTTATTATTTGTTTTATTAAGTAAGTACAACAACTTACGTTTGGCCCACCTCCATGCATCTTCAGTGCTCTCACTGTAGCAACAAGCACAACCACACTGGGAACCAAGCCAGAAGCTCTGCATTTGATGTTGAAGAATTTCTCCATCCCGATATCAGCACCAAAACCGGCTTCGGTCACTGTAAGGATGAATTTCAACAAGCAGGGATGGCAGCGTCAAGGGAAAAGCTTCCATTTCACAGTGGTTGGAATCCAGACTCAGATGCATGCTTGAAGCACGCCTTCTCTCGTATGAGTGGCAAGATGCTTGGCATGAATCGGGGTGGGGGCCATGATTAATTTCATTTTTAAGATTAGAGCAGGAAACTCCTCCAGACTTGAGGGTTTGGATCATTTCATACACTTCTGTTTCACACAAACCTATGAAGAAGTGGGCATGCACACAAAAGCTCATACCCAGAATTAAGACTGTGTTGGTCTTAAAGGTGCCACTGGACTCAGACTTTGTTCTGTTGCTTCAGACCAACACAGCTACCCACCGGAATCCACGCAGAGAAAGTTTAGATAACTTATAGTCAGCAAATGTACAGAATATATCCCAGAGCTGTTATTTTCTCCCCAACAATGAAAATGAATAAATTAGTGGATTACATTAATACTATTCACTCTGTGTTGTTTTAAACTACAAAACATTCAAGACTGCATCTTGCAGTTTCTTCCCCCAATTTAGCCACCCTATCCAAACATAGTCTGTATGGCAGCTTTGCAAAATCAGCCTGAAACATTCATCAAGCAGCTTCCACATGGCAAGTATAAAAGTGCTAATACATGGAGCTTCTACATTATGTTGCAGTTCATCACCCAATGGCTTGTAGGAAGATCTGGCAGTGGGATGGACACTCAGCATACCGGAAACCACTTTCTAGATTATGCCCACAATATAGACCAGGCCACACGCAGTGGTGCTGTTTCAGCAGGCTTCCTTGTGCCTGGCATAGCACGGATACAGGCCCCAGGAGAGTTTTAAAAAACATTTTTCACCAACACTTTGGAATGTTCAGAACACTTCCTATACTTTTTCCTTTTGCAATCCTTGGAACAACCCTATAAGTAGATCACTATTATGATCTCCATATTGTGGACTAGCCTGATACCTGTGCTTCATTACGGTATTTAAGTTCTGTAAATTCAGTTATAATACTGATGGTGTGAAGTTTGAAAGGTAACATTTGTTGTAGGAATTCTAATGGAGAAGACTGTAGTGTAAAGGATGAAGTGAAACACATGTACCTTTTTTTTTTTCTTTGCTGAAGGACCTCTCTGTACACCACAGGAGTGGTTCTGCCCTCAGGTGCTAGGATGACCAGGCTGCTTGTTGAGCTCAATCTGGAGCAAGCTCCTAGAAAGGTCCTTTACTATCTTCCCAATTGCCATGCTGGCTGTTATGAGAAATGTCTATTCAGGAGTTGAATTGCTGATTTATGTAACTGTCCTCAACTGTCTGCAGTCTCTTTTAACTGTGTTTTTACCTCAGAACATTGAGATCCACAGCTGAGCAATCAGAGGGAAGTGGGTGCAAGCAGGCAGGTTTTACCTCAGAACTCTGAACTACACAATTGACCAATCCGGGAAGGGGGCAGACAAGGAGGCAGCAGCCTGCCAGGCACATGGAAAATAATTGGGGGAACACATTTTGCCCCTTTTTTACCCCCTTAGGGGTCATGTTTCTCAGAAATCTCTTGGGGGGGGGTTGACATCATGGTGGGAATGCATTCCCCTTATTTTGGGTTACTTGATGCAGGGGTTTGGCCTGGGCATTGAATTTGGGGGAGAGGGTATACCCCCCCTTTTTTTTTACAAAAATGCTTCTCATTTATGTTACATTTAAGAAGTGGGACATAACTACGTATTCAAAACAACATCCAAGCAATCAGATATTGAGCACGTTTATATGAACCAATTTTCTAGAACCCACATTGTGAGAAGTTAAATAACCTAATACAGGAAACCACTTTTCTACAAATTTGGGGCATATTTCCATAGTGGGTGGGAGTGTGGCTAAGCATCGCTAAGGTGATCCTGCTGGGGTGGCCTCCCTGATGATTATAGTACCCTGGCCCTGCTCCTACACCTGACCGACACTTTGGAGGCTGGGTCAGCCACAGCACTAAGGAAATCCTGCTAAGCAAGCCTCTCCTATGGCTTTAAGGACTCCACATCCCTTCCAACCCTTGACAGGCAGTTGTCTGTCAGGTGTAGGAGGAGAAGCATGTCTGAAGGCATTAGGGAGGCTGGGCCAGCAGGATTGCTAAGGAGATGCTGCTTGGGCAGCCTCTCCAATGGATTTCAATGCTCTGCCCTTGCTCCTGTACCTGACAGACACCTGTCAGGTGGAGGAAGGGTGTGTGGGAGTGTGTCTAAAGTCACTGGGGAGGCTGGCGCAGCAGCATTGCTAAGGTGTTTCTGCTTGGGCAGCCTCCCTGATGGATTAAAGTGTCCTGGCCCTGCTCCTACAGCTGACAGACACTCGCTAGTCTGGTGTTGGGGGGGAGTGTGTTTAAAGGCATTGGTGAGGCTGGGCCAGCAGCAGCGCTAAGACGATCCTGCTGAGCAAGCCTCCCTGATGGCTGTAAGCATCCTACCCCCTCTCCTACACCTGACAGGCAGTTGCCTGTCCAGTGTAGGAGGGGAGAAGGAGGGATATTGCAAGCCATTGTGGAGGCTGGCCAGCTCCCTGATGGTTTTAAGCACCCTGCAACCACTGCTGCACCTGACAGATAACTGCCTGTCAGATGTAGGAAGGAGGAGTGTGTTTGAAGCCATGGGGAGGCTGGGCCAGCAGCTTTGCTGCACCTCACAGGTGGTTGTTGGCCATTCTTGATTTCCTCAACTGTCATTAGCTCTCTGCAGTCTCCTGTAACAGGTTTTTTTAACCTCAGAACAGTGAGCTCTGCAGCTGACCAGTCAGAGAGGTGGGGGGGGGGGTGCAAGGAGGCAGCAGCCTGGCAGCCACATAGGAATCAATGGGGGGAGCACATTTTACCCCTTTTGACCCCCTTAGGGGTTGAATTTCTAAAAATCCCTTCTTACTGAGCATCTATGTCATGGTAGGAGCGCTCTCTCTGAATTTCGTGTGTCTAGGCCCAGTGGTTTGGTCTGGGCATTGATTTTATGGTGAGGGGACTTTCTTTTATATATATAGACTAGGAGTAAGGCCTGTTGTGGGAAGAAATACAACAAAATCTAGAAGGAAGCTCCAGGTGAGTGTCCCAGCTGTGACTGGTGGGGTGGCAGAAGGAAGGGGAAAATAGAGGGGGGCAAGCCATATTTATTTCCTTCTGCTTAGCTATAAGGCAGGGCTGTCTCAAGTCATTTTGCTGCCCCAAGTGGGTAGTATGGGAGGACAGCCTCATGGTAATAGATATGGTTCCCTCCAGCCCTGACTTATGTTGATTTGGGGTTATGCAGAGGCAGCAAAGGTAGAAAAGCACTTCCTCCTATGCCATGTCTTCTGGGTTCCAAGGGCCTGGAAAGCGGTTCCATAGCCAGTTACAGGGTTGCCAACTCTGGGTTGGGAAACACCTGTAGATTTGAGGGGTAGAGCCTGGGGAGGGCAGGGTTTGGGGTGTGGAGGGACCTCAGTAGGGTATAATTCCATAGAGTCCATTGCCCAAAGCAGCCATTTTCTCCAAAAGAACTGATCTTGGAGATCTTTAGGTGCTGCTGGGAGACTGGCAATACTAAGGGGAGGAGCAGACCTGTAGATTTGTGGGGTAGAGCCTGGGGAGGGCAGGGTTTGGGGTGCAGAGGGACCTCAGCAGGGTATAATGCCATAGAGTCCACTGCCCAAAACAGCCATTGTAATAGCTGGGAAATTTTCTGTAGGGGAAATGATGTGCTGTGGCTGGGGAACACTGTGATTTCTGGGAGATCTCCAGGCCCCACAGGGAGATTGGCAACTCCAGACTGTTTAAGGAAAGATTGGGATATGCATTTTACCTCAGGACACATTCAATGACTCCCAGCAGCAACAACAAACTGTTTAGAATGTTAAAGGCCAATCAGGCTGTATATGCAAATAATCGCTGTGTTCTGACTGGCTATTGGGGGGAGAGGAACAGCAAACTGTTTAGAATATTGGAGGCGAGACTTAGGCAACGCAGCCAGTGAATAGGGACAGCTTCTGAGTAACCGATCAGGGAGCCAACTGATTTGGGAGCGTGTAGAGTGTTCAGGAGAGTTCACGACCAAAACAGAATTATTATATACAAGAGGGGGACCCGCGATACTCGCGAGGGGGGAGAAGAGTTCTGTCTCCTCCATCCCCCCTCAATCTCCCCAAGGCTGCGGCGGCGGCGGCGAGGCCGGTCCTCCACCCCCCACCCCGCCCGGCTCCGACCCAGCCGGGCTCCGCGGCGGCGGTGAGGCTGGTCCTCCCCCCCCTGCCCAGCCGCCCGGCTCCGAGGCGGTGTCCCCCCCGCCCGTCCAGCTCCGAGCCGAGGAGGAGGCGGGCGCGGCGCGGCCAGCTACAGATCGTTCCCTGCGCATGTGCAGGGGACGCTCTGTCACTTTCGGAGGGATTTAAACATCCCCCCGAAATTTTTTTCAACTTTTTCGATTTTTGTGCACACGTGGGGACTGGCCCACATGTGCACAAACCTCCCCCTCCCCCCCAAGTGCCCCCGGAGCGCTGATTTAGCGATCCGCACTCAGGGGGCAACTTGGCTATTAGATATATAGACAGAGATGGGAAAATTGAGGCTGGGATACAACGGCTTCTGTAAGGTCATCTAGGTGGGATTTGAACAAGGAAATTTGATTTGCTGTTCAGTCTCTTTGTTAGCACACTTAAACAGCTAATATGCATGGAATGTGGATTCTAGCCCTCAATAGTTACTGTGTACATGCAGCCCAAGGGTGGTACTAATTACAAGTTAATCATTTTGTGAATAAAATAAAATCTGAGTTTTACACACAAAGCCAAAGTAAAATACAACCTTCTGTTTTGCTTCAATTTTACAATCCTATGTACCAAGTTTAGTTTAGTTTATTCAATTTATATCCCGCACTACCCCACAAGCGGGCCCAGGGCAGCTTGCAACATTGATGAAACAATAAAAAATAATTCAACACTAAATAATAATTCATAAAGCCTCCTCATAGTCTTAATTCTACTAAA